CATGCATGACCGGGTGTTAACCATATTTTCTACTGATTGAGAGAGGAAACACTGCAACATATTGACTTAGAATACCCTATTTTACGGTCATGATGAGTGAATATTGTCAAAAAATACCACACTAAATAGTGACTAAACACGACCCCTTTTAATACATGTTAACCAGGAGTCACTCTCTTATAATCGCGGCATCGTCTGATAAAATCAGCATGCATCAACACTAAAGAGCGGCTATGCGGTTATTTTGGCTATTTTGGCACACTGCCTGCATCTGAGTAACAAACTAAAAAAAACAAACTAAAAAAAAGTGCATGTGATATTAACAGACGAACTACGCTCATATTTATAATTCCAAACAATCAGTAAGCGACAGGTGCTTGGAAACGCTGTTTTGTACTCATTTATTGAGTCGGCTGCGGTGCGGCCAACTGAATGCGCTGCTTCTCTGCCGCTCACTGCACAGAACAAGCACAGAGAGAGGTGGCACTTCTCCAGGAAAGTCAGACCTCATGTTCGTGGGACAGCACTGGCGAAATCTTCCAACTGAACCATAGCTAAGGTTTATCCAAAAAAGTCGCTAGGTTTGTCAGAATGAATATTCTATGGGAAAAAGCCGCTAAAAGAGTGAAAGTTGCTAAATCTAGTGCTAAAGTCGCGGTATTCGGTATGAACCGGTATACCGCACAGCACTACTGTAGATCACATAGATTTTGTAGCATGGCTTATGGGAAGATGCTTTATATTATGGTAATATTATGTTTTTTGGACACGTACCACAGTACAGTTATACTAATTATTTCATTAATTATTTCATGAATATACTAATTATTTAATTCAGTACCATAGTATGATGGTGTAACCACCACAGACCGTTCCTGTATGTACTGCATGCATTGTATTTATCAGAATCCTGTTTTTTTTTGTATGTCAGACACCTGTCCTCCTGCGGGATCTTGATGACCCGTCATCCTCGCGCGCTCTGTCTCACTGAAGTGGGTTTGACTCCCACTCATCACAGGAGATCTTTCATCAGCCTCACCAATAAGAGAAAAGAGTATTCAGAGAGGAGAATACTAGGGTAAGTTGCCTAACTAATTCTAGGGTAGGTTAAGATTGACCCAGTGTCTGATCCTGAACAATGACCCCTTCTTCTTTCCTCAGGGAGGATGAAGGTAAGCTCTTGTGGTGTTGAATAATGAATTGACAGAGCTGTATTGATCTAGTGGAGGTGGAGCAGCTGGAAACAAAGATCTAAGACAGGGACATAAATACTGAACCATTAATGAAAAACAAAAAAAAGAATGAATAAATAGTAGTACCAAAAATAAATGAAATAAAATAGAACAAAACACATTTATAGCTTTTTGTATTGGGCAAAAATAGCAGTATCTGTATTTATTTTGTGTATTTTATTGAATTGTCATTTTTGGTATTCTTTATATTTTTTAGTTTTAGTAATTTCATTTTTTTATATTTCTATTTAGCTCTAATTTAATTCCAGTTTTAGTTGAAGTACTTCACTTTAAACTATTTTATTTCAGTTAGTTGCCAGTGCAACATTAATCATTTTAATTTCTAACATTTTTTAAGTTTGTTTTTCATCTAATATTAAGATTTTATTTGATTTCCGCTCTTTCAATTGGAAAAAAAAGATTCTAAATTGATTTAGTTAATAACAACAACACTTGTATTGTCCGTTTATGAAAGTATTTGTATTTTTCAACTTGAGACTCAATTGACCCTTCACAAAGACCACCCCCCTCCCTTAGTTACTGTTGCTACGTCCGACAAACCATGACGCTCTCATGCCACACATCATGTTTCACTCACGCAGTGAAAAATACATTGCGAAGCAAAGAGGACACTGGCAACGCGCCAACAAGACAGAGCAGGTTACTTTTGGTATTTAATATAGTCTCAGCTTTCAAATTTTGTCGGGGTATTTTTTTAAAGAAATGTTAACAATAAATACCATTTTGTGGCTCTTTAATGTGTCATGACAGATCGCTGTAGCGCCTCAGTTCAAGCAGCATGCGAACCGATCATCTCTTCCTCTTCACTAGTTATAGCACGAAATAAACATGAATGAACATAAGAAGGTATCTTGTTTCAACCAAAGAAAGACGTCAATACACTATTTTTCAAGTTCAAGTCCATCAACATTAATCTACTCTCCTGTCTGGTATGTTTGTCGGACAAAATGGCAGATTCAGCGTTATGATTGGTCAGATCGCCTGTCAGTCAAACTCCCTGCAAAAGGGTCAGTTCTAAATTAAAAAGATGTACCTGTATTTTGTTCTTTAGGTACTCAATGCAAGAGATGTATGATGTGGTAGCCAATGTGGATGACTACAAACACTTTGTACCGTGGTGTAAAAAGTCCCAAACCATCATGAAAAGGGCCGGTCATGCCAAAGCTCAGCTGGAAGTGGGCTTCTCTCCTGTTGTTGAGCGATACACTTCAATGATAAGCCACGTCCGTCCACATCTGGTCAAAGTAAGTCGCCCTGTGTGCTTTACAACATCTTTAATATCATCACTGAAATGAAAAGTTCAAATTTTGTAAATAATTACATTTCAACCCATCCCATTTCAGGCAGTGTGTTCGGACGGTAAACTCTTCAATCATTTAGAGACAATATGGCGGTTTAGCCCCGGTATTCCTGGCTATCCTCGCACATGCACTGTAGACTTCTCTGTAAGTATCGTTTACAAACGTTTGCTTCCAGTTGACCCTACCCCTTGGTTACTGTTGCTAGGTCAGACAAGCTTGCGGAATGTAAAAGAGATTTCTGCACAGTTTTGGGGTAAAAATCAGTTTACAACTATCCAAACATGCAACACTTTCATAAATTTGAATCAGACTGAAAAAAACATGTTTATAAGTTTCAGTTTTATAAGTTTGAGTGATTTTGTTGTGTGTTTTTATTGGTTTTATTAGTTTTAGATTTTTATGTCTAGTTAGTTTTTATTCATTATTATTTCAGTTTTAAGTAATTTTAGTACATCACCTTAAAGGGTTAGTTCACCCAAAAAAGAAAATTCTGTCATTAATTACTCACCCTCATGTCGTTTCAAACCCGTAAGACCTTCGTTCATCTTCGGAACACAAATTAAGCTATTTTTGATGGAATCTGAGAGCTGTCGGACCCTGCATAGACAGCAACGCAACTGAAATGTTCCCAAGTCCAGAGACGTAGCAAGGAGATCTGTAAAATAATCCATGTGACATCAGGGGTTCAACCGTAATTTTACGAAGCTACGAGAATACTTTTTGTGCGCAAAAGAAAAGAAAAAAAACGACTTTATTCAACAATTCGTCTCCTCCGTGTCACCCTGTAGCGCCATTTTGGAGAGTATCAGCGTAAACAACATAGACATGGTAAACAACGTATGCTGTTCTGTGTCAGCTCAGATCAAATCACAACAACGTAGGAAACAGATCCGGCGTGACGCAGCTGACACAGAACAGCATACGCTGTTTACATCCAGCGGATACTCTCCACAATGGCGCTACAGGGTGATGCGGAGGAGACGAATTGTTGAATAGTTGTTGTTTTTTTTTCTTTTGCTCACAAAAAGTATTCTCGTAGCTTCGTATAATTGTGGATGAACCCCTGATGTCACATGGATTATTTTACAGATCTCTTTGCTACGTTTCTGGACTTGGGAACATTTCAGTTGCGTTGCTGTCTATGCAGGGTAAGACAGCTCTCAGATTCCATCAAAAATATCTTAATTGTGTTCCGAAGATGAACGAAGGTCTTACGGGTTTGAAACGACACGAGGGTGAGTAATTAATGACAGAATTTTCTTTTTTGCGTGAACAATTAGAAACTTGAAAATTAGAACGTTTTTTTGTATTTTATTTTATTTCATTTAACGTTTATTTAGTTTCAATGAATGCACATGCTATAGTTTTAATTAGCGATAACACTGGTAGCCAGTAATGTTTTATCGAAGAGTCAGTGTATGTTAGGAAGTCAACTCACCGTGTCTCTTTCTCTCTGGATGTTGTTGGTTTTCCTCAGATCTCGTTCGAGTTCCGCTCATTGCTGCATTCGCAGTTAGCGACGGTGTTTTTCGACGAGGTGGTGAAGCAGATGGTGGCCGCGTTTGAGCGGCGAGCGGGCAAACTCTACGGACCCGAGACGAGAATACCCCGCGAGCTCATGTTTCACGAGGTCCATCAAACGTGAGATGCACCTTCATACTGGACTCATAGAACTCTTTAGACCGTTATTGCTGTCTATGCAGGGTAAGACAGCTCTCAGATTCCATCAAAAATATCTTAATTGTGTTCCGAAGATGAACGAAGGTCTTACGGGTTTGAAACGACACAAGGGTGAGTAATTAATGACAGAATTTTCTTTGTTGCGTGAACTATCCCTTTAAATTGTGAAAATTAGAAACTTGAAAATTAGAACGTTTTTTTGTATTTTATTTTATTTCATTTAACGTTTATTTAGTTTCAATGAATGCACATGTTATAGTTTTAATTAGCGATAACACTGGTAGGCAGTAATGTTTTATCGAAGAGTCAGTGTATGTTAGGAAGTCAACTCACCGTGTCTCTTTCTCTCTGGATGTTGTTGGTTTTCCTCAGATCTCGTTCGAGTTCCGCTCATTGCTGCATTCGCAGTTAGCGACGGTGTTTTTCGACGAGGTGGTGAAGCAGATGGTGGCCGCGTTTGAGCGGCGAGCGGGCAAACTCTACGGACCCGAGACGAGAATACCCCGCGAGCTCATGTTTCACGAGGTCCATCAAACGTGAGATGCACCTTCATACTGGACTCATAGAACTCTTTAGACCGTTATCACATGACAAATCAGATCACTAGATTACTTTGGGATGGTACGAGAGATACCATTTACTTTTAGAAAAAGATTTCAGTTCATCTGAGGTACTGTACCTTTAAAACATTTTTTTTTTTTTTTTTTTTTTTTTTTTATTTGGAATGAAATTAATTTATTTTTTTAGCACCTGACGGGGAG